AATTTTTACTCCAATGAAAAATGAAGAATGGACATTAAAAAAAAAAAAAATCCAGCCTTTATTTTTTCAGCTTTCACAAATCAGAATTTCTTTTTCTTGCAAGCATTTAAGGAAGAGTCCTTACAAGACAGAAATGAAAGACAACATGGTCTCATCTGCTCGATTTTATGGCTCAGTGGGTTTAACACTGTATTTTACTCTGGCTCTACCACTGTCAGATACCATGAAGTGTAAACTTAACACAGGAATGTAAGAAAAAAAAAAAAAGCTGTGTAAACTGAAAGCTTATTTTGCATGATTTTATACGCTGCCTCACATTTCACTGACAATACACATTTATCAGATGCAGACAAGCAGATCTACTGACACACATAATTCTTCACTGAGGCCATCTGAGGAATATTTAATGCAGAATGCCTTTCCTGTAAATAAGTGTTCAGAGAACTGAAAAAGAAATAAATTTCATACTCCCTTCCCGGGTTTCTAAGAGAAAAGAGAGGAATTCCCCACCTGCTCTCCCTGACATCTCTATCAGCGTTCCTGTGTGCCCAGGGAAGTTTCAGACCCGCAGCCCCCAGCCAGGAATGCCTGCTGCAGAGTCAAAGATCAGCTCTTTGGCTGCCAAATCTCAACAGCTCTTTTCTGCGCCACTGAAAAGCAACGAGGATGCTCCAATGAACACTCTAGGTCGTTGAGGTAGATGAATAGTTGAAGCTGCTTTTTTGGTACGTCCTCTCAATGTAGGCTGGCACTGTCCCATGGATCTGAAGGGCTCACATGGCTTATGTTCACGCTTCCCTCTCCACTCACATGATGCTAGTTCCCTTTTGCTGTCTAAAACATGTATTCCATCAAGTTACCAAATTGATCCAAAGGCTTTGGATGAGAAAAAACTCCTTTAATAAACACATGTCCTTTCCTCTGCATGAATAAAACATCCCAGGTCAACCCTGGCACGGTAGCAGGGATGCTGCCATGAACCATGTCCTGAGCAGGAGGGATGTGCTTGAACCCTCCAGAAGGAAGGGAATGCACAGAGGAATGACTGCAAAGGTAATATTGCCCTCACCTTCACCACTTCTCTCACTAGAAAAAAAGAACCACCTGGACCTTACCAGGTCCCCAAAGACCCAACTGAGCTTGAACAGGGGGGACAGGGACTTTACCTGCTGACAGAGATTGGCTTCCAGCTCATTGCATGAAAATGTTACAAGGGAGCTCTCAGGGGCTCAAAGGCCTTGTGGCTGTGCTCCACAAAAGCATAACCATGTCTCTGTTACAGAGCACTTGGGATAACCAAAGTTAGAAGATCAGGGGGAAATCAACTTCCTTTTCCCTTTACACACTGTTTCAGGAGTCCATTGCTCACAGCCACTGCAGCAAATTGCACTGCATCTCACAGGATAGAGCAGCACCTGCAAAGTATCATCCACAGACCCAGGGATCTTGATCTTTAGTTCTTTGTAGTTCATTAAAACACCAGTTTTCTGTATTTTTAAAACACTGCCAACTTCGGGCATAATCCATAATGATGGGATCTGTATGACACAGTCTGATGGATACTCACCTTATACTTCAGGTTCTCTTTCTCGTGTCAGGCTGTCTCTGTCTCTCTGTTATATTGAAATCTTTTGATTAAATCCTCTTACTTCACTGCTTCCTTATTGATACTCCCCCTTTGTCTGGCAAAATTTTAATTACCATGGTACTGCATAACTCCATTCAGTGCTCTGATATTACCTCAGTGATAGGAGCAAAAGCAATTCCTAAGACAGAATGTAACTATAATACTCTATCATTATGTCTTCTTTTATGGCTCCTAGCACCCTCTTTATGGCTGCTAATATATTGTGGTTTCTGCCTTTCACTTACTGATTTCTGCTCTCCTTCACTCAATGTGTCCTTTTTCTCACCCAGAGAATTAACACCCTATCTCTGCTATCTCTCTTTCCTGCTCCCAGACACAGTGTAGGGAAGTTCTCTTCTCCTCCTCGTGCTATTCTTTCCCATCTCTCAAAGACAGGAGTCTACACAATGCTCTACATGTTCTGCAACACAATCAGCATCCAGGATGTGATGGTCTGCACTCAGGGTTACTGTGGCTTAGCACACAGTGGGGGGACCTAATACAAAAGTCAGGGCAGGAATGCTGAAATCTTCAGAGGACTGAAGGGAAACTGAGCTATACCAGCTTAAATATACCCTCAGAGAGGCAAGTACAGGAGCTTTTCATACCCACTGCTTCTGCTGGGTTGCTGACTCCTGTTAAGTAATCATTAAAAACAGACCTGGTTCTACTGCAGGAGAGGTAGAATTTTACACATGAACTGTACAAATACATTATCACGTAATTTTAGTTTAAAATTCCATTTGAGAATTAATGGCAATGGCCTCCCTTTCAGGCAGTGCTCTCCTCTTTCACTCTCACAGCAGCAGTGTTGGCTCACATCATCAAAAGCCTTAAGGGGAACAGGTCAGTCAAAAATCACTGCTCTGCAATAACATATTTCTACACCTGAGAAGCCAAAAAGCAGCAATTAAGCACAGCAAAATAAATAATTCAATGGCTAATTTGACCTGCCAGGTTGCAGAGTGTTTTTTTATATCCTACCAGATTGCATTTTAGTTTAGAAGAAGTGTCCCTGGAGAGCAATGCTGTGAGAGCCCATAAAATGCTATAGTGAGAAATAAGGCCAAAATTTACCTGTAAATGGCCCACTATTGTTAAAAGAAGTTTTTTTTATTATTGGTCCTGCATATTTCATGAGAAAGTGAAGAAGTCCTTCTTTGATTCTATATGAGTTAATCTGCCAACTGATTAGGCAGGTAAAGCAGCCATAGATTGGAAGACTAGAATTGCACTGCAGGTACTTGACTTCTAGATGGAACACAAACCAAACAGAAAGCTAATGCTCTTTTCTGTGGTAAAGGAATTGGCTTCTTTTTAATTGCCTCACAAATAATCCAGAGACAGCTTTGAGTGGGAGCAATCCTGTGTGGCCTCTGAATACATAAATATGCACTGAAAATGGGGGGAAATATTCATTCAAGATGCACCTAAGTAGGAGAATAGAACAGCAGTACCTTAACAAGAGACTCCTGCCTCACTCCCAAGTTTGTAGGGCTTGGAGTGCGGGGAATTGTAACCCGGTGGGAAAAAACAAAGCAGTCCAGATGGAAGGACTTTAGTCCCTCCCAGTGAAAGAAGATTAGATGAAAATGGAGCTGACAGGCACCCGCATGTGCACAGGTGGGCAGCACTAAAACCAGGAGGAGGTGGGCAGAGCAGGGCAGCACTAAAACCAGGAGGAGGTGGGCAGAGCAGGGCAGCACTAAAACCAGGAGGAGGTGGGCAGAGCGGGGCTGGAGGTGGCTCAGCAGCCACAAGGGTTGAGTGGAAGAACAGTGGGAACCCCAGTGGGGAGCACTCGGAGCACACACGACTCTGGGACATGGGACACGTGTCTGTCGGCCCCACACACTTGCTGGGGCTGCTCCAGAGCCCAGGGATCCCAGAGCAGCTGCTGAGCCCAGCTCAGCACACTGGGCATGCTGTGGAAAGGACAGGGCACCAGGGAGGATGCAATAAATGCAGACACTCTTTATCTCAGATATACACACCCTCTCATTCACCGAGTCTGTGTTCTTGCTATGCTGATTTGAACCCTTTCTGACACTAATGCAACGCAGTAAGATTCAGAAGAACCCCTAACAAACCCCAAAGCAACCACAAAGCCCTTTCCTGCTTACTGACACCGCTGCCGAGCTTGGCTGGGTACAGCACATCAGTCAGATCTCAATGTCCTTTATAAAAGTATAATAAAATTCTCCATAAGCCTCAGAAAACTGCAGCTTGGGCAGGACAAGCACTGGGAACAGCACCCAGAGCATGCTCTCCCCAGTCCCCAGTCCTGCCCCATAGCTGATATTACCCTAGATGAATGTTTGCAATGATTTGAAAGACCTACTTGCTTTAAAAGTAAATAAATAAATTAAACCAGCTCTTAAGCTTCTAGAAAACTACTACAACTGCTATTATAGTCTAACATAGTCCTAGGGAAAAAAAATGGGATGAACATAAACCAGGTGCACTACAAGACTTATTTTACTGCATCTTCCATTTTATAAAGATATTCATGAACATATAAAAATAAACACTCCACTCCTTTGCAATTAAGTTTCTCCCTAGTTGTAAGTACAGCTATTTTTAGTTTTAATTTGAGGATATCTTCCAGAATTGCAGAGCATAATCATTTCCACCATAACTCTGCATCATCATTATCAAATAACAGCCTATCTTTGGAAAACACACATTTTACATGCTGAAGGTCCCAGCAGCCCTTTTTCAGCTGACTGTACATATCAGTTCCTTCAGTCCCAACTTCAAGTAATGCAAAATATTGGCCACCAAGTGGTGCTACAAAGGTTTACTCCAAATGCAGATCTGGCCCATTAAACCCAAGACTGTTCTTCCCTTGCAAACCAAAGGGGGATGAGGAAAGGTGCACTAATTTCAAGCTCCATTAAAAATGCAGGAAATAATTTAATGTTTCCCCAAATGTAAAGGCAAGAAAATTTATGAGGAAATCAGATTGGTATTCAATTTTCCAAGACGAAATGACAGAAAATGACAAGGAGGTAAAAGAAGTATTTGAAAGCATCTGGCCCGAAGCTCCTTAATGGTGTCTCCCCATTTGATGGCTCCTGGGATTTCACATCCATTGTAGTTACAATTACCTCCCTCTCTACTGAGCTGTCCTAGACCAGTCACAGCAGCTTTTTTATGGATCTTACAGTCATTGCAGAAGACTCTCAGCAATGTTGCAATAATCAAGGACATTATTCCAAAGTAACTGCTGATGGGGTGACACCAGCCCACAGCCACCTCACCCCCACGGCTCCTCAGCTTCCCTGTCGCTGAGCAAATCCTTGCACAGCCCCTGAGACACAGGGCCCACTGTCCCAGAGCCAGCCTCCCCCTGGGGACAGCCAACACTTACCAGCCAATGTTGAATTCCACGTGGGCATCAAAGAAGCCGACGACAGGAGAGGTTGCTGCTTTCCAGCCCTGGATCCTGGCTCGGATCAGTCCTTCTCGTTTGTTGTTGCGCACGATTTTCACCAGCCCTGGGTATCTTTTATTGACATACTGGTCCAGATTAAATTTTAGCTCAACTACAGGACAAAAAAACCCAAAAAAACCCACAGACATTTAGAATGAGAAAAGCCCTGCAATGTTATGCTTTACTTTAATTTATTCTGCAACAGAAAGGGAAAGAGATCCTTCAAGTAATCCTAAATCCTTTCTCATTCTCACAGATACAAACCAAGTACTGTGGTTGTGGCATGGGCTCATTCCACGGGCATCAGCTCAGAGAAATTCTCTACACATCAGAGATTTGCCCAGGTTTAATATGGCTTGATGGATTTGAGTATAGTTTTGAAGAGGTAGTTTGCCAAAATATTTTTAAATAATTACTATTCTAATTCTCTGATGATTTGAATTAGGTTACAAGTGGCCTCTGGAGGAGCAACTCTGGCCACAAAGCAGTGTAACATGGCAGTCTGGTGATTATTTGTTCTGATTTATGCTGTTCACTAAGAGTTTGAAAAATAACCTCAATGGATTTTGGGTCAAGACCTAATTCAGATCACAATTAATTTCTCTTCATTTTAGGGTTTTCCCTTAAATATAATCAAGACTCCTTAATACCAGGCTTCTTTCCCATTGAACTAAATGGATATTGAAGATCTCAAATAGACTTCTCTTTTGTTCATTTTCAGGCATTCAATCACAGACAGAGCAGAATTCATTCACCCCTTTTTCAGCCTCATTTCAAGAGGTTTATAAACAGGCAAATTACCAAAATGCTCTCTCTATTTTTTAAAAATCAATCTAGTCTAGTAATTCATTTACACTGCAGCTTATTCATAATGGGGCTTTTGCTCAAATGTATTTATTAGGAAAACTAGAAGAAGCTTCCAGGATGTTAGAATCCTCATTCTTGCGATCTATAGTACCCAGTAGGATCATTATCACTGGAATCAAAGACCTGATAAATCTCCAGTTACCAGGAAGAGCAGCAGAGAAAAGCCACAGAAGAGTTCACTGAGAAACAATGAGTTCAGTTCTCCTCAGTATTACATTGACTCCAACACTCTGCAATCTCACATAATTACTCCATAGGTTACGCTGCCATAAGTGAAATCTGAATTGCATTAACGTTTTTCTTAAACCTGTATGTTTTGGAATTTAGTTTTGTTTGAGCTCTTTCTTCTCTCAACCTTCCTCTCTCTTCAGGGATCTTGAAGAGTAAAAGTAACTTAAAACTGAAACACTTAATTAAAGCTGTTGTTCTGTGGAGGAAATGCTAAACTTCAGGCTTATTTTAAATAAAGATGATTTTAGAAGATACAGAAGTTCTAGAAGACTAAGGTATAACAACTTTAAACACAACAACACTGCCAGTCCCTTGTATCCTGAGAGTTCTTCAAACTTGATTGTATTGTGCTGATCTATAGCACTCTATATGTATGTATGTTCTGAGTTTGGATTGCTGCAACACAAGTGCTATTTTTACACGAATGAACCAGATGACCTGAAAGCTGCATGTGCTTTGTGCCCGTTCTGTTTCATTCTCACACACGAATTTACTCCCTATCTCAAAAAAAAGAAAAAAAATCAGGCTCAAAATCTGACGTCATCAACATCTCTTTAAATCCTGAAAAAAGTGTGCTACTATGTAAAAGAGCAGAAACTATCTTAAAGGAGAATCTGTAGCCCCATTTTTTCTTGAAAGTAGAATTTAAAATTTTAGTCTATTAATGACAATGTTCCTCTGGATCTGAAAATTTGGACAGAAGTGTCCTATTAAGACTGCCTATCACAAATGTCATTTATTCTGTGAGGATTTCAATGAAATCAACAGGGTTTACCCACATAATGTTTATTTGTTACACAAACAGTCAATATTTACTCACAGCTTTGTGCAAATGGCTCAATCAAGCCCCTCATCAACAAACATGAACTCTTGCAAATTCTACTGACTTCAACAGAGGTATGTTAATTTATACCAACATATGAGTCAATGATTATTAGCTGTGGTTGCATGTATGACCCTCCTCCCCCAGCTGCTTTAATGCAGAACGGCTCAAAGGTGTTTCATCCAACGTTAAAAAAATAAGCATTTTGGCCAGCAGTGACCAAACTCCCTCTGCTTTACATTCCACGTCTAGAAATCCCAGAGCGGGAGGAAAGGTTGGGAATGCTCACCGTTGTCACTGTTGTCATCCACCAGGATGATCTCCTTGAGCAGGTGGGAGGGGGTGTGGTTGACCACGCTGTGCACCGAGCGCAGGATGACCGAGAGCGCCTCGTTCACGAAGATGAACACCACGGAGATCTGGGGCAGGTCGTCGGGGTAGCTCATCTGCCTGCACCTGGAGGGAAGAGAGGCACAATTAAAACCCAAGCAGCCACTGGGAGGCCAAGTGGGATGAAGAGCATCCTCTCCTTCCTTACTCTCCATCTCATACAGGGATTTGCAGACTTTGAGCTTTAGCCACATCTTTGTTGGGGGTTACAAAGGACAAAGGAAGCAACCCAGCCAGGAGCAGCAACCTGTATAAAAAAAAGAGGATGAGCACACATGTTTGCAGCAGCTCTCACTCCCTGGAAGGTTAAAAGCACCTCTGCAAAACCAAAGGAATATCAATGACTTTGCTCAAAAACAACCTGCAGAAGGCCCACAGTGCTACCCCCTGGCTGTGCTCCCAGGGGAACCATCAGCAGGTCTGCTGGTAGCTCAGAACTGGATCTCCTACTTTCAAAACCAGGGCTCACTCAAGCAAATTTTGCACTTGCCCATACAAGGAGCATTAGCCACCCTTTCTGACTTTGCCGTTTGTGCAGCAATAACAAACACGTGTTGGCTGTTGTACAGGCACACACTGAAATAGCTGCAAAACAAATCTGCTCCCTCTGAGCCATCACCTTGGAAGGCAGCTACATCCTGATTCACAATTTGCTTTTGTGCTGCTCACTGACACATACATGTTACCATAGACCATTTTGAGAAGAAAAATTGAGGCTGGAGAAGTCACACAGCACAGAGCAGAACTCCTGCTTCCCAAGCGCACAGCCCATGCCCCTCTCTAACTGTCGTTATCATACTGCCTTATTTTAGTGGAACTCTCTCCCACTAGCAAATACTCTAACTTTAAAAAATACCTATGTGTTCCCTCAGTCAAAAGCCATTCAGAATTACCACGGCAACTACTGAACCTGCTCTCTAAAATACCACTAATGAAATCACAGGGAACAACTTTTCCTGCTCTTATCAAACTTTCTGACCTCTTTGCTCATTACTTTGGCATAACAATCACTTTTTTTTTCCCACTCTCAGCAGTCATGGGGATAGGGAGGGCAACAAATGCTTGACTGCTGAGTAACCTCTGGAAATCAGTTATGAATTCTAGTAAAGTGCAATTATTCATAACTCCTCATCCCAGCAGTACTTGCCCAGGGACCTGAGTACTTGTCACTGATTACAGTGTTACTGCATCAACACTCAGAGCTGGCAGGAAAGAAGGGACAAGAGAAAACATGTAACCGAAGTCTGGAGACAAAAAGGAGGTTGTGGCAGAGGAGAAGGGAGTGCAGCAAGAACGAGAGGTCAGTCAAAGCAGCATTTGCTACATAGAGGGACAAGCAATTAAAGGAAAGGTGGGATGACCACAAGTGTCAGAAGTAGAGAGGCACATGGGTTAGGTCCATCCCTATCCCTTCTCACTGCACCTTCCTTCTGTCAGTTCTCCCCTTTTGCTACGAGGAAGACATAGCTGAAAAATTGCACTATGGCTGCATTTGGAAAGAACACCCTGACCACTACATATTGGAATATCTTGGGTAATCCCAATGCAACAGGAACATCTAGACAGGCAAAGGCAAAGCTCATAATTTAGCAGTGGTTTAAAAGCTGTCATAGTTTTATTTATTGCAGTGAGGATGAAGAACAGCAAAAGCAGCTGTCCAGCTGAGTAGACTTTTCAAAGCACAGCAGTGATTTAGGAGTTTATTTCCTTCAGACTTCAAGTCAACCTTGAACTCCCAGCTCCTTAGGTCAGAAAATGAGATGGATGTGCTGAGGTAGTCAGGAGGAAGTACTGGTCCACTGACAAACGCTTCTGATGATGTTTGAGAGCATGAGCAATCCCAGTTAAGGGGCCTTTCCTTAAAAATCAGTGGGTGCTTAAGTGCTTTGCTGGATTGTCGCCCAAGTTCTTCCCAATGTATTCTCTAATTGGATACCAGTCACAGCAATTTACAGTTAATACTTCCTTTATTCCAAGAAACTCTAACCAGCACTTGACACGCTGAGCCAAACAGTGACATTAGCAAGTCACACAGAAGAACACACTGCCATCAGAGCACAACCATGGCTGTCACCTCCTGCCACCTCTGCTTGGCCAGAGGGTGACAAGAGACCAAGTGCACTGCCATGGGTCAGTCCTGCCTGTGTGCAAGGCAGACAAAGTCAGAGTGTCAGGACACATGAAGCATCAGGCAAGACACGTATGGGTGATGGAGGAGCTTAGCATGAAACTGGTCATGTTTATTATTTCTTATGAGAAGAAAATTACCAGGAATGCAAAGAAATCAAACTGTAAAAAGAGGTCCTAGCAAGGCACATCCTCATAATCCTTCAGCCTTACCACCAAGAGAACTGTGATATTAAGAAACCATCCCTTTTTGGCAGCCCTGATGCTGTGCAGTGGAGTGCCTGGGTGTCTAAGGCACCCCAGTGCTCTGCCAGGGAAGGGAGCTGGGCACCACCACGCTCTCCACTTCTCTGCACTAGGTATGACCACATTGTGAACTCTGGCAAGTGGGTGAGGGAGGAAAATTACAGTAATTGATGGCTGAAACTTGGCCTCATTAACACCCAACACTGCTGAGTTCGGGAAGAATTGAGAGCATACACTTGACCTCTGTGGTAGGAAACGATGGTCTGAGCTGGCCAGGCACAGCTTACATTTAATATTAGTGTGATTTTAAATTAGCATTATGAACTGCCAGCAGGCCCCACAGTGCACAACCACCAGAGGAGCTCAAGTCTGCATGAGAAGTAGGGCCTGTCTCCAGGGCAGGCAGGTGAACTGGAGAGGGACACACCAGGGATGTGTTTAGGAGAAGGGATCCCAAGCAAAGGCTGACAGTGCCATGGCTAATCACTTCCATGGGCCAGCTGAGGATGGATTAGACCTGATATGTGAAACAGCCCTTCAGGCACCTTTCATAAAACATGCCAAGCATCAAACCTGAGGCGTCCTGCTGTTGTCTTGGGAAAGGTCTTTGAGTGTTCTCGCTCTGTATTTGCTACTGCAGAGCTTGGCCAGCAACCCAGAGGTATTGCCTTTGTACATGACAGAGAGCTTGATGTTAGGTCATTTTTCTCTGTTCTGGAGACTATTTTCACTCATTCTTTACCTTGCATTGAATCAGTTCCTTAAATGAACATTTCCCAGCCAGCCTCCTGAGCCCAACTGTGAGCACTGTCTTTGCAGGTATAAGAAAACAGGAAAAGCTCTTCAGCTGGCAGACCAGAACCTCGGAAATAAAATCATGTACTAACATAAAAAGGTCATAGATTAGAAACTGGGACATGAGAAAACAAAAGCTACTCAGCTGCACATGAACCTGCTCATGGCAACCTTGGAAGCTGGGAGGCAATAAAGGGAAGGAAATTTTCTTTTGTCCGAACCTTCATTCCCTGATAGATGTATTTACTCTATTTGTATCTGATCCAACAGAAACATGTGAAGTCCTCTATTTATCAGAGCTGCTCTTACAGCCCATTTGGGTTGCACTGTTTTTCGTGAGGGACTGACACTGCAGCCACGCAGGTAGTTCAGTGCATTACCAAGGAAAGAAAAATCCTTCCTGCTCTATTTCCCCTGCCTTCTCTCCTGTCTGCAAACTTGCTAAAGTCTAAAAATGAGTTTTGCTTGCAGACCTTAATATACTGAGTTTGGAAATGGATTAGGCAATGCGTTTAGAGATTTCTGACAGCTTTACCCTTCAGGAAGAAATGCAAATAAAATTAAAGCTGCTTCATGAATCTTTAAAGTATTTAATACAAGATACGTTTTTCCAATGAACCACTGGGATGGAGATGACTGTGGGTTCTTCTCCTTAACAAACTTGATGAAATTGCTGGGCATGAAGAAACATCTGCAGTTCTGGCACAAAAAACCCTACCCCAACATGCTCTGTACCTTGAAAGCTGCAGAATGGTCTGTGTTCATGTTTTACAGCCACAGTAGGAGAAGGAGGTGGAACAGCTCCTCCTTTGCTACATGATCAATGAAAGGACAAAGATAAATATCAATAAGATTAAAAATAAGGTAACAAATACTACTTTTAATCATCAGGTCAATGTGCATTTTGAGCCCAGTTAAACCACAGGCTCAGAGTAGTCCTACCTACACGGTTACCTTTTAGTACCTAAATGCTGCTGTGACTTCTGTAAGCACAGACAATTCACCACAGCTAAATCACTGAATTTAGTGGCAAGTTCAATGCTTGATTTCCTTCTCCAGAAACCCACCGAGGCTTTACAGCCAGTGCTGGATGTAACAGTAACTTTTGAGCTGCAGAAATAAAGTAGCATTGCTTTCCTGTTCCACACTGGCACAACAGTGAAAACGTGACAAACTGCGAACATCTCCTTCCCCAGCATGGGATCCAGCTGCTGACCAGTCTGCAGCAAAAGCAGTGACAGGCTACAAAACTGATTAGCTTCATGGATCATGAATCTGTCACCCAGAGGCTCCAACTCCTTCCTAATTAATTCTCCTTCTCAACAGAAGGTGTTAACTGCATTATACCATAACATTCTCTTTCCAGTAAGAATGGATTTTCCTGCCCTATCCAAACGGGGAAAAAAATCCCAAATGGCCAATTTTTGAACTTAAGGCTTGCTCTTACTTTCCCCTCCTGTTTTGCAGCTCATGGACAGAATTCCCTAAGAATTACATAATACAAATACAACTGTGATCAAGGGAGCAGTGGAACAGAACACTGATGCTCTTGAGAAAAGCAGCCCATTGTATTTACAACTAAGGTAAAAAGAGAAGTGAGCCATTTTCAGAAAAACTAGAACTTATGGTGATAGCAGGAGATACCTTCTTCACAGACTGTGTTCCTTATGGAACAGCCTCCACTTTGATTTATCCAACAGAATAAAAATCAACACCTTCTCCTTTCTCCTTAATTTATTTGGAGAGGTGCAGGTACAAGATACAGTGCAATTCTTGTCGGTGCTGTAAGTCAGAGAAAATCCATTAAAATAACCCTTCCTCCATCTTTTCTGGAACACAGCAATGCTGATGGTCATTTTCACATAAAGTGAGATCTTAAATCTACTCCTTTTTTTCAT